CATTACAATCTATTTAGTTCAAAATTGCACATTGGGGCTCATAAAAATAGATTTATGTGCGTTGACCAAACTGGTAACATCCACTCACCGGATCATGTATTTGCTCGCACAGACCTGAAAGTTGACCTCTCATCCATCTTCAAATTTTAACGTGCAAGATGCAGTGATATTGCACAATTACGGCAACCCAGTACCACCAGCCCTCGCAGCCTGGTGTGCGCTGTCAATCCTCTGGCACCTGATTACCTGCGATGGATGTGTTTGCGCTCCCGCTGGGTATACAGGTCGTGTGCATGGCTGCCTAGTGACCTTGGCCGAACGGGGTATGGCGGCATGCCTGGGGGCGGCCGCGGCCGCACCAACCGTCGTCCTTAGTCAGTGCGTATTGTGGACCAGGGTTGTTTCCACGGGCTCAGCTGTGGGCGCTCACCGCATTAATTTGGGGTCTAATCAGTTCCCCCATTTCTTTTCTTGGTGTATAAAATCCTTTTCTAGTGTTTCTTGTGGACCAGAATGTGTGATGGTACGCCTAGATGCGGATCCGGACGCGCCCAGCCACCTGCGCCCTCTTCCGCCTTCGTTCTTCTCTTACTATGTCGTGAAACCGGGCTTAGGCAGGGGAGGAGGAGAGGGTGCGGCAGGTTCTGTGCAAGTCCATCATCACCATAAACTAATTCACGCACAAGTCCACGTACCTGCTTCTATCTTGCTGCGGTTCACACGGTGGACGTCGTCAGCAACGAGGACCGAACATACTGTTGACATCCTGACTAACGTCGAGCGCCGGCGTGGGAGCTTCGGTCAACCTTCTCGATTTCGATTATCAACGCAATACCCTCTCTCTATCCGCTGCGGAGATCTGTCCGTCCCTTGTGAGACCCCCCTACTCGATTATGCCCAAAGCTCGCGCCCGAAAGGCGTCATTTTCGCTGATGTCAATAGGTCTTATATCGACAATGACATACCGAGTTCGTCGGATGAATTAGTCAGCATGAGGAAATGAAGTTTTTCCTAATGACTAAGAGATAGGTCAAAGTGAGAAAACTGCCACGGTACAAGTCTGACTGGCATTTCTGTAAAGGAGTTTGACAATGTGGTTCAGATTGGGCGTGGCTTTCGAATAAAACCCGGACACACCGTGTTCCGAGTTTTATATTGATGCCCGACCGGATATTCACATTACGGCAAATTCTTAAATTCAGTCATCACTACCAGTAATAGATCGACGTCTACCTTGTTGACGTCAACGTCATGATAGCCTGCGATTATTGTGAATCCCTGTGGCAGACAATAGAGCCAAACAGTCTGCCGCCGAAAAGCACACCTATTACCTGTTACTGCTGCACCAGTGCACGAGTTCGGCTACAAAACAAACCCTTTCAGCCGTTCACAGTTAGCCTAACGTTCGACAAGGCTGTCTTGTGTGACCCATTGTGTTCAACAACGCCATTGGCTGGATTCTCGGAAGGGCCGTAGGCGTATTTGTGATGCCGACTTCACATCTGGGCCCCAAATAACTGACCTTAACTATGCTGGAGATGTCACTCTGCTAGGTTCAACCTATAATACTCTGTAGAATGAATTGTCGCCAGCGAATGCTAGGCTGTGCGCTTGGAGGACAAGCGCAAACCGGAGATGTTTGGCCACGGTTTGCTCAGAACCATCCTTCGAGTGAAATACGAGACATGCCGTAATCGTTGCGACAACATCAAAAGGATATCTCAGCTCATTCAATAAAAACGGTAGTTTAGGCACGTTCTTCGTCGCCCCCCTCCGTGGGCTTAGTGTCTCTGGCCTCGATCGGGCGCCCTTGTCCAACTTGGTGTGTGGAAAGGGATGTCAAATCAAAACCCAACACGGTACAGTTTGCCAAGCCGTAGAAGGGGTTCTTGGACCTACGCTATTTGGTATCCGTCGCTGGAGGACAGAAAGAGTAGGGCTCCCTAGATCCGCTGCCGCAGACCGTCAGGTGAAGTGTAGCATAATCCACGACATCAACGACTTCTGGACTGGATATTCCTAGACATTCACTTCACAATAGAGGAAGAGGGAGACGTGTCCGTACACAGAAAGGGCCACAGACAACCCAAAATGACGGCTACAGGAAGGCGACGAATATCTCTTCAGTCTCCGTAGAAATTACCCCCTTTCACACAAACGCAGCTGCGTGAGGTCACTCTGACAGTTCGACTGCCGTTTCTGAAGATGTTCAGCATTTACCTCACTCTCCCCTCTCCCTCACCTGGGTCCGGTGTCACTACAGAGTCAAGAAGTCCGGAGGCGATGGAGGGTGCAGGTGGCTGGCGCGGCGAAAACCCGCACTTAACCGCGTGCCACCACACCGGTTCGGATCCAACAGATTGGGAGTGCCACATCGGTCTCATTAAGAGGGAGCCATTGCAGCCTGACTCCCAGTCCACCCAGTTCGCCACTCCACACAAACACACGCTGAGTTAACTGCCAGGTCCGAGTTATCCCGTTAGTTGGCAGTCCTTCAAGCCACGTCTCTTACCGCCCTGTGATAGTTTAAACGCATCGGGTTGGCTATAGTGAAGTATATGCGTTGAAATCATCGACCTCACGCTCTCCTTTGCACCACTCGATTTCCAAATTAAGGCTGAGATTGGGCGCAGTGACTGACAGAACTAAAATCCGTCCGTCTGCGCGTGCTGCACACACACACACGGCCTGGTCCCCAGAAGGGGTGGACTGCTTGGCTCCCACCCTGCCACCGTGTGGGAACACACTACGCTGACGACAAGACGACTGAGATTCAGATTCTGCGGTCGCTCTTCACAGGTAACGGATACCCTGGCAGTTTTGTCGAAGTTAAGCAAGGCAACCCGATATGGCAGTCCAAAACCGACTAACTGGTGCGCCCTGCTTATATTGCCGGTGTGCTCCATAATTCCGTAGACTGAGTCGCTCACAGTCCGGAAGCGACAATCCGCCGGCGGCTCTTGCATTCTAAGGACCCAAGATACATCAATCAAAAATCTGCTGTCATTTAGAAGATAGAATCCAACTGTGGCCAAGCCAATAATGTTGATAAAACCGGCTAGCAGGTCCGCATGAGACTCTCCGAAGACAAGTTCACTGCCAGTCGGAAAGATACGTTTTCTTTTGAAGTCACCCACTCGTCCTAGTCAGGGCGCAACTTCGATTTCAACTGCATTTGAATTCTCAGCCAGGCGGATTACCGTCCAGTTCTCGATCTCGTGTTTTGGTTGAGGTCGGGATAAGGAGAGAAGGCAAACGAACCAGATGGGCGCCGCTTCTCCCTCTCTTCCGTTTTTTAACGTAACTTGGCCGCCTTACGTGTCTTTTGATTGCTTCAGGAAGCCAATAGATTGGTGTGTGCCCATTCCTGGTTGAATAAACACCCGACCTGCGTACACGGAGAATGACGGGTGACGAGATATTGATGAATTTCGGTTCGCTGAAGTGCCTATGACCCAGGCGTTATACACCGGTGGTGGACAGTCTTCGCCGCTTGCGTGCAAATGCTTATGTTTCTGGTCCCAGGTGTTAGTCAGGGTTATAACTGGCTGAGTGAAGGTATAATAAGTCCCAAGCAGTTCTGTACCAATCCACTCTCAGTCCTTGCCATCTCTACCCTGCCATCACTGCTTGGTTGAGTTCGGTCTGGCAAGGGGTTGCATGTCTGCAGCATGGAATACAGGCGTTCCACTTCGCCTTATAGATCCGATGCAGAGGTTAGTTAACGACTGTACATAGACGGAAATGTACATCGCATTCCTCCTTTTCCTTGTCCATAGTACCTCTCAAGCAACGACAGTTAGACGGTGCAAAGCTCTAGCACAGACGACCTCAGTACTTTACCTACCCAAAGCTACCAACGGTAGACGGTCGATGCATGCGGTCCTTCATCAGTATTAAAAACGTCCTTTAAGGTCAAGTTTTATGTGCAAAGGGTGCAAATTACCAGTTTTAAACTGTGAAAATATCGCCTGGGTAGAACATTAGCCTGTTTTCCAACTGCTTGAATGACCATCGTTAAATACCAAGATGCTTTTATATAGTTTCTTCGCGAAACTTACTTCAAAGGCACCATTGACATTTGTGGTCACATATATAAAGCCGAAAGACGACATTATTCTCGACATTGACGGCGAGTCAGCTTGCCTTCTGCAAACAGTTCTAATCACAGTTCTAGTCACGTAAGTGACTACCTCTAAGAACAGCTCGATGTTCGTCACGTTTAAAAAACACAAAAAACCGGTGCCTATGCATATGGTCGCGTGCACGTGATTTATGTTAATCCTTAGCTGTATTGTTCACCGCTACTTGACGAGCAGCGGCTCTACTAGCTCAGGTGGATAGAGCGTTGACTGTACTCAAGCCTTGTCCGTGTTGTCGTGGATCCGAACTTCGCCGAAGCCGTCCAGTTCTTCATAACTGGGTCTGAGAGATTATGCAGAGCTGCAAAGAACACCATTGATTTATTGCTCTATGGTAGTTGCCCACATGTTCTGCGATGTATAAATGATATACACAATCCATAATGCTCGCGCTTTCACAGGGCATTTTACCTCATTGATGCTTCTTAGTGAAAGTAAGGCCAACATTAGGAAGTGCATAAAAAATAGATGAGCTTCGGTGAGACACCGGAGTAGGGACTCCCGGTAGTACAGGTAGCCTTGAACAGGACCCCAGAATGGGCAGATATTCCCTTCCCTGCGGTTGCAGATAGCGCTGTAACCGGTTGTCTTTAGGGCATGACAGAATCACCCACCCCCTCCAGAACGATCATTTGTATATGTGAGATAACTCTTTCCTATATCGTTTAATATCCTGAACTGCAATGCTATTTTTATATACTCATAGCCTCTTATTCCTAAAACGTTCATCTGTGTTTGATGTCGTACCTAGTAACTCCGTTCAGCGCATTCATAGCAGAGAAACGATTCGAAGTGAGTTACTAGATCGCGTGTGTTACTTTCAACGCCTCCAAACGCTACAAAAGTCTGCTCTGAGGATTAAAGTAAATTCTGTCTGATTGAATTAGGAGCACTGTCGCCGAATATTTGATTTGCTGCATTCTTGTAACTTACTTGAAATACTTCTTTTCTCCAGGCGCACCAGTCACTAAAGGATACCAGTGGACCGAAATAAAAAGTTGGTGGATATGTGGCATAGCAGACTGCCTCCAGCAACACTGGTAGCGCCAGTTGGTTGACAAGTACAGTCCGTGGGAGGGAAGAAGGTTTGTTGGCAAATTCGAGACCAACGCTCGAGGCACGGAGAATTATCAAGGCCGCAGCTGACTGAAGCACAGTGGCTTTTTCGAAGGTTTCGTCCTCATGGACCACTTCAATAACTGAAAACTAAATTTGTTGAAAGTCGATTAAAAGAGGGTTGGCGACGCCTTCGTGAGTGAGAAATGTATTAGTAGGCAATAATGTCTACTTGGTTTGTGGGGTACCCACAGTCGTTTGAGTATCCAAAGAACAGGGCGAATCAGTATTAACGTGAGGAAAGTATTTGTATTAGGACTAATCGTCTTACTCCGCAGCACACCCATGCAAGGACTTGCGTAACGATAGCCCCAGAAACCGAGGTCGTTGACCGTGGGCTCAAAAACGACGGTCTACCTAACCAAACAATATTTGGGTAAAATGCCGTTATACCTATGCCGAGAGGGAGTGTATTGACATTCGACGACACCCACCTTCTTCACGGCGGTCACCAAACGATGAGCGGACTGCGATGGGAACAACAGCTAGCACACAACTTGAGATCCCACGGGTCGTGGAGCACCGCATCAGGACACTGTTACCCAACAGGGCCACTTGTAAGTAAATGAAAGGCACGAGGTATGCTCACTTATCTCGGACTTGTTTGTGGCCGAGGCAGCTCTCCCAACCCTTTGAAGATGAATGCTTGAGGTGTACAAATTAAAATTTTAGGCGCACCATGCAGATGATCTCTTGGTCGGCATTTGGCAACAGGAAACGGAATACTATGAAGAATAAATGATTGCGGTCACCACAGGATCAGCAGTGCACGAGTGGGGATGAAATTGAGGACCGAATTCCCTTCCTAACTGTCCACATCTGGCGCCCAGTTCACAATTAACAGCCGGCCAAAGTATACAGTAAACCAACAAACACGCTGTAAATTATGATGGCAGACACCAGCTACAACACAAGCAAATCTGTGTGAGTTTGCGAGAAAAAAAGTGGTTATGTTAAACCAGTGGAAAAGTGGATCGAAAACATACACCTTTGAGGACTCCCCAGAGTCAACGGGTATATATGGACATTCGTTGGGAGGAATCCAACACCCAGAAGACACCAAAAGGGCGAGTCCAACCAGCCAAGAGCATGCTGGTGTCCCGTGCGTGTAAAATTTCTGCTAACAGTGGCTGGATCCCTCGCGTCAAGCGGAATAGGAGTCGCTCACAAACCGGACTCCCAATCGGGAGAAATTAGTCCCTGTCTACCGACTATAATGCGGCTGCGCACAGAGGGCAGCTCTGTTGGAAAAACCATAGGAGAGCTAGGAACGCAGCTGCACATACATCACCGGTCGTTCGAAGACTAGGCCCGAAATAGAGGGTTCTAACGCCTGCCACGCAGACAGCACATATCGCCAACTTTGACGCCGTTGGGGCTGTGGGCCGGGGTAACAATCCAACGACAAGGTAGTTTCAAGAAGCCTGGTTGCCAGCCGACTACTAAATCAACCGACACGCAAGCCTAACTGCGTCCCGTTGGATTTTGCGAAAGTACTTGACAAGAAGCATTTGAAGCATGAGAAAGTCGCGGCCGCCAGTTATCCCCACGGTCAACGAGGACTGGAACGACAACGACCACGTCGATGCAGGAGCCGTTTTACACCAACTGTTGGCAGCCGATGCCCACGCGTCAGGCAATAACTCGCATGCAATCGCACATGACAATAAGATCTGTGCATGGGAAACCCAGATGGGTGGCGGACTTTGATACCTGAAACATTGGATCAAAAAACCCTCTGGTGAACAGTTTTTGTCCCAGCATGTTACCTGAGAATCGCCAGCAAAAGGCACTCTTACCCTGCGAAGGATGCGGACGGCCTCCTCCACGTAGAACAATGAGCACAGAGTAAGGCTCCAAATAAGTGTCTTCGAGCGCAAAATGTAACCGATTACTGCATATACAATAGTGGTCAGGACACAGGCAAGAAAAATTGAAGGTGGGATGGCCGGAACGATAATGCTTGCGGCCAGAAGTGTCTCACATATTCGTACAAGCTGTAATCCAAAGTCAGTGTAATTGGCCGCATACCTCTTTAGATCTCAGCCAGTTACTGAACACCGTGCTTAGCAAAAAAAGAGATATTGGTGGCAATTTCAACAACCATATGTAGACCAACGACCACTCAGTATCCTTCGAATCCTAGAGATGGAGCTTTTGAGTAAGGTAGACACAGAACTACCTTGAACATTCCGCTCCAGCTGTCTTTAAGAAGATACCTGGAGAAAAACTGGAGTCGATTGTCTGAAAGAGTCCAAATGCATCTTGATAATTAAACTTACTGTCCGACCAGGAGACTACCCACAGAGAGTAGAAGGCTTTCGAGGCAAGCAAAATCCATATGATAATGCATAGAGGAATCTCCATGGACCTCACTAAAGGATTGATAAGTCAATACTGGTTGGAATTATCAGAAATGTCCATGACAGTCATTTATTGCCAGCAAATCGGTCAACAGGACAAATTCAAAGTATTCAGATCACTGTTTACAGGGGTTTGTGATGAGCCGCAGGAATTGATGGGTCAACTCCGACCCACGCTCCTACCTAGGACACGTGCCTTCTCACTTGTGCCTCGCATACAATTCGGCGAAACCATTCGCTTGTCTTAGGGTTTTCGATTGACAGAGAACACACCCAGAAAAGACTACCTAACGCCCAACTACGCGTAACAGAACGGCAGGTTTATAACGAAACTGCTTATGAATTTTAATGCACACTCAGTTACCTTCTAAAATAGGGATATTTACTGTTTCCTAATTACATAACCGCCGTAAACTCGAGCTACACTCATCTATCAGGCTTCAGGCGCCAGAAATCTCCCAGTGCACTGCAGAACCAATTTAAGATTGATGCCACATTGTCCCGGGGGCTCAAAACCCGTCATGTTCGCAGCCGGCGGAACGGTGCGATTTCAAAGGGATGGTGTTGTCACTGCTCCACTATTCGCCTCTAATGTTCGCTAGAGAAGTAAAGGTGCTAAAGGATAGTTGAAACGTAGACCATCGGAAGTTGCGTTTGGTATGAATTGATGAGCAAGGCATCACACATGCGACATGCAAAGAATCAAGTCTCGAGCCTGTCAGCCCGTACCTCAGAAGACAAAAATTTCTCCGAGATCCCATGGATATGACACCGTACTTGTCGCTGTTAGTATGTCAGGGTTTCCATGATACACAGTCGGTGGCGTATCTCATGACATATTAAACAAGATTCTGATATGTATGTTCGACTATAAAGTATTACTTAGATGGGGTTTTAATTTTGATTACTGTGCCAGCCAATCCCGAGATATTTCAATCATAACAGGATGCCGACTTGAGAGTGCGCTTCTTTCCGATCGCGTTCAAGTACAACACCCGGTAAGCAGATGACTGCTTAGATAGTAAGAATCTTCCAAGTGGTTTTCGATGCCCTTGCAAACTTAAATATATGTCATTTTACAGAAGACATGCACAAGAATATTCCTTGTACTAATTTGGTGGCCGATCACGCTCTCCAAATTTTACGCTCGCGGACAGGGTATCTCTCGGGTTTAAAAAAGTTTTTCAATTCCGAGAAAATTGTGATGCATTAGCGTTTAGGTTTTCCAAAACACAAGCTGTATATCCCCCATGTAAGAAGAAGGATATATTGCTCTGCGCTATTGAGCTACCATACAGAACTCATAAAACTTCGTAATAAATGCGAGTAGTGTTATATAGTTCATACAAACTATTACTACACTTACAGACAGAATGACAATCGAACGTACATTTCATGGTCTTCATGAATCTCATGAACACAGAATATTTAGATCCAGGAGATTCCCTGTCCAAAAGTCTAAAACACTGAGCACGAAGGTGACTACTAGATGAGTACAAGGAAAATTCAGCAGGACATGAGCATAGGTACCCCGCATCACAGGCAGTTAGCGCTGACAAGGGAATAGGTGTCTCCCGCAATTATGCCCAAGGCCACCTGCAATGGTGGGGAGTATCTACTTCCGTGCCCAACCGAACACTTTCATGCACGCTTTATGTAGAACAGAATATGGTCAAAAGTTCAGAAAGCGTGTGCTATGTCAGTATCAGCACATCAAGGCCATCGCAGCCTGGTATGCGCTGGCAGTTCCCAGACACCTGGTCCTCTGACGGTAAATGCGCTTGGATATAAAGGTGGTGGGCATGGCTGCCCAATCACCATCGTCCTTCTGACCCCTGTTGGGTTGTCGTTGATGCTGTTGCTGATCAAAAACCTGGTCATTTTCTGTGTGGACCAAGGGGTGTGGAGTGGAACGCCAAGGTGCGGGCTCAGCCGGGCCATCCACCTGTGCCCTCCCCCTGCCTCCGGTCTTTTTGACTATGTTTTGACATCGGGTCCAGGTGAGGAATGGGGAACAGAGGGTGTAGTAGATGCTGTGCAAGTCTACCGCCACTAAAACTAATTCACGCGCAAGTCACCGTGCGTGTTGCACCTTGCTGTGCAGCACACGGTGGACATCGTCGAAGAGGACGGTCGAATTGTCACTTAGAATATATTCGAGTTTATAAGGTAATTGGAAATCAGTGGGGGAATTCGAACCACTTAAGTCGTCATTTTTGCGATGATTTTCGCATGCGGCCGGAAAGCAGGGAAATCAGGAGATGGCACGCCGTCGCAACTGAAATATCTCGAGACTGTGCAGCACGCAAACCAATATCACAACCCCAGCCGAGTAATGCTCTCTAACTGAAAACACATTTCAGAATTTCGGTTGACATTTCATGAGATACGCCACCTACTGCACGCCAGAGGATGGCGAGTTCTGAACGGTGACTCGGTGAAATATGGCCCTGGAGAGCGGAAGCCCTTCCCAACTGCAAGCCGGTATCTATGGGTAACCTGCCCACAAAGATACTAAGAAATCCATCCAAGGAGTCCAGAGATGAAAATGGCAATAAAATAATAAACACGATGTAATCATCATGCACTAAAGGAGCAACCTACAAGACCTCAATTTCCTCTTCAGCCCCAAATGACTTGTAATGTAAAAAAGCTCCGATACGGCATGCGTGAAATGAGACGTCAGTATTCAACGAGTTCTTTATTGGTAGAAACACGAAAACGTGGTGAATAGGCATCTGAGGCAAATATAAAATTCGAATTAGCAAATCTGTGAAATCTCCACTGCCTGTCATACTGCTTAGTAAATGCAAATTAATAAAGGCCATTCAGCGCAGATTCGGCGGTGATTACATAAAAGTTCACGTACAAATAGTGGCCACAAGTTGGAGTGCATATTAACAGTTCCATTTGGAAATGTGAATACAGGTAAAACTGAAGTGGAGGTCGTCAGAGGGTTCGCGAGTGGGCCCACTGGCAGAGCTCGACTGGACAGTTGGGGTAGGCATCCAAACAGGCCGTGAGGAGGATAGAGTTGACAAAGCAGGCAATAGGTTGGTAGTTACGCAGCTGACAGGGAACGCTAGCAACTGGTGCCTTTCGCGTGCTCCGAGAGCCGGCGGTTAGACCCACGCCACCGGTAGACGCGAGGGCAGCGGCTTCTCGACCACACACAACCAGCTCGAGGTCCACAAGATTGTCTAGGGCCTTGGCAACAACAGCCTTCTCGTAGAGATAGCCGATGCAGTTGGTGCGGCAGAAGCGCGTGTACTCTGAAACAGCAGCGTTTTGAAGACTTCAGGAAAAGGGGACTAACACGATACAACATGCGACACGGTTGGATGGTGCCTTTCAGGTCAAAATATTTTATAAGCTAGCTGGGTCGCCTCTACAAAACGCAAACAAAGGTGTAAACGCGATGTCAACTATCTTGAGAGGAAAAATTCCGACGCAATGAAGACCGAGGTGCAAACGGCCCTTTTGGATGCCTACCTAAGAGTAACGGTTAGTAATGAAAAGAATATCATTTGACTGGGGATATATTACTGATACGCGGATGGTAGTGGTGGACAGGCAACTTTCCGAGCCCCTTTAAGAACCCCTTCAACTAGAGCGGGCGCGCAAAATTGGCAGTAAACGTTTGCTGAGGAAAGCAGACGGAAGCCAACATAAAAATGGCGCAAAATCTTCAAAAAGGACGTCGTTAGCAATAAGTCCACTACCGCTGGTTAACATCCAAACGAATCTCTAAGAAGTCACGCGGGCTTGAAAGGGAAGCGGCGCGAAAGCTTGAGGACCGCGGAGTCAAGGGAGAAAAAGAGGACTTGGGAGAAGTAAAAAAAGAATCATAAAGAACTTTCACAAGGAAGTTTTGAAGTCAGGTGTGGTTGGAGTCCTTTACCTTGTTGCGTGGCCGCTCTCCACTATGCAGGCGTTTGGAATATCGTGATGACGTAGGCTAACTATAACAATCTTTTGACAGCCCACCGTTGAGACTAGTGTTGCTTCGATACTGGCAGAGTGCTCACATTTGGTATAAGAGGAAGGAATTTGAACCGAAGACTATGCGGGATTGATAAAAAGGCGGGCTCACTAGAAGGACTGAAAAGGTTGCCTTGCTGTCCAAGTCATGTTTCAGTGATAATTGGCAAAACTACCGAATGTGGTTTATCCCACTGAGAGATGGTTAGGATAAAAAAATCGCACGAATTAGTGCACACACGCCTTCTGCGTCGAAATTGAAGTAGTCCCACGAAAGTGAATACTTACGGCAACCTTGGGGAGGCGAAAAGCTGGCAAAAAGTTTTAATTGTCTACATGGTTGAGGCGGCAGTGGATCGTCGGCAGTGACTTACCGTGAAAAACGACTTCGAAATTGAGAGGTTGTCCGGAATTGATCTCATGTAACTTCACCATTGTAGTCAGAAGTATAAGTTCGAGCACAGAAAGACCTAAAATACGAGTTTTCAGAATTAAGTCGAAGGCACCAGGCCCGAAGGTCTGTAGAAAACATTAATTCATGGAGTAGGATAGGGGAGATATCGCGTTGTTGATGCGAGGCGCGATTATTGCTTTCGTTATTAGTATTACCTGAAATCACCATTCGCAAAGCAGCTGCAACACCGGACAAATTATTACGCTGGGTGCAAATTCCTAATTCAAGCGGGGACAATTGTGTACTTAAGGCAAGTCAAGGTGCTTGTGAAAAACCCAATTTATACATAGTCGACCGCTATGGATACATGTAATCATAACGACAAACGGCAGTGGCTTGGCCGATTCCAGACTCTGGTGCCACGAAGAGGTGCGGCTTATTCTGAGATCGCAGAGCCGGCTGTCAGCAAGTGCAATCCAGCTGACGTTAGATTTCCGAACACCAATGACACTTAGTACCGGCAAATTCTTCAAGTCTAACTTAATCACATCTATCCACAGGAATTCGGAGGGAAAACGAGGATGAGTGTCCATCTGAGTCGACGGAGTAAGTAACCAGACGATCGCAAACGTCGGCCTTTAACCGTTCTACCAGTAGAAGGGACCTCCGACCGGCAACGAGGCTCCACCTCTTAGACTTAATTAATAAACCAAGGCTGCGGTATTCCTCGGGAGTGCCACTTGTGAAATACCCAAGTTAGGTCACTAGGGCGATATTTCATTCGAAAGCATATTTACGGATTCTGGTCAACGCTTCAGCAATTTGGACACTTTGTACGCCCATCCAATCTGATGACTGGTGGTTGCCAGGAGGAGGTATTTGCAACAGAGGCCCTGAAGACACGTACTTGGTAATAAGGCAGTTTTGGCGTCCTGGCGAAGTCGGGAAACCACGTTGATAAAATCCTGCGTTTCTAGGCGAATTTTGGAACCCCCAAGAGGTGCAATTAGAAGTGCCTGAAAACGCAAAAACTGCTATAAATAAAATGAAACAAATGGCGACATGCAGAAAAGCATTATATTATGCGAGAAACATACGATATCGTCGTCAAAAAGTAATAGGCCCAGCAAAATTACTTTGCCAAATGTCGTGATCTAAACTTAGCAGTTTTTAGCAGGAACGAATTGCAATCATTGAAAATTGCCGTCCCGGGGCAGTTGAAAGAAATCTTCGAATCCGCTATCTGAAAACAGTTCGATAAGCCGAAGAAAATCGAACTATTCTGTTTACGTGGCATGAGCCAAGTGGCACAACGGAAACTTGTAAAGCATCGGCTAAGTCGGCTACAGGGAACTGCAAAAGCTATCGGACAGACCACACACGGCATGACCACTGTGAACGCTTTCCTGACTTCGACGACCGACCGGTTATTCTCTCCCTCCGGAAGCGGAACTCCTCTGACCCATGAGACGTCGTTTGACGCCCCCGCGACTACAAGGTGCTCACGGATGACCTTCCTCCTACCACACAATTTTTGTCACCACTGCCGCCCAGACTCTGTAAGGAAAATTGAACAAGGGCCGGAGAGATGAGATCGCACTTGGGGTTACTGGCTGAATTATCCTTAGCATCGCTAACGCCTAAGTAAAGTCTGCACTGCCGTCGATCTTCGTCGTGTGAGCGTCACGTTCGTGTGGCCTCGGTCTGCGTGATAAAATGGTGTATCAAGTAAAGTCGTGGACATGGCAACTACAGCCCTATTGGTTGTATAGGAAGAGGAAAGACACTAGAATGTGAAATGTATTCCGAATAGAATCCCAAACTACCATCTCCGCTAGCACACGTGATGTACATGTGTGGACGCACGCGTTTGAGGGCTGCATGGACACGGGCGGTGCTGTGGTAAGGGTCATCCGTAACTCTCCGCCCCCAAAACAAAGAACTGAGTGAAGGCGTCGATGGTGCAACGAGCGGTGAGTTTAGCCAATGATCACGATGACTAGACAGCATGCGTTTACTGTGATGGAATCATCGACTCAGTTTGATGCCCCGGTCTGTGCAGAGGTCAGATGGGACAGAAGGCAATGAATGTGCTGGTGCGTTTTGTCCAACACCCATTGGTGAGTTCGCATGCTACTATGAGAGGCAAGAACGTTTCCGACGTGGTAAATCCCGGTGGAGTCAGACAAAGACGCATCGGTCAGTGAACGTGTTTCATTGTCGTCCAAACTGCACAGCCAGATAAGTTGCAGAGCTCATTGAATCAACCGAGCCTCAAGGAAAGTTGTTCACCCACAACGGCTTCAAAACTGATGATGCTGGTAGGAACATTAAAAGGAAAATGCTGGATCAATATTGGATGCGTCCGATGTTGGCAGGGGTGAACGACTGCTCCGCACAATTGGTCAGAGCCTTGGCTTGGACTCTCATGGCTGATGACAACCCCATGGCTTCGTGACACGGTGACGGCAACCAAATCTTGCTTGTCGTGGACACCGGATGGCATAGTAAAATCTAGAGATGCGGCGGTTGGTGGGAATTTCGTGAGAACTCAGTTAGGCCACTCATGAGGGCTGTGTTCGCAACACGCTGGAGTCACCAACTTGTGAAGTCGAAGAGAGTGGGCGTAACCTAATCACCACAACTGTAAGGCCATGGGTCGTGATGGCGGTAATACCCCCAAAAATCCGAGTGGGCTGACCAAACATTTACGCTTCCGAACGTCGTGAATTGCCCAGTGGCCACCATCGGCAGTTGTAAGCTGTTTATTCTTGCAATTAGCTCTAGCGTTCAATTCCGTTCGTGGCAACTTGTGGCAGATAACGTTACTGCATTCTCTAGCAAAACCCAACTCCGTTTTTGCTTGCGTCTCAGGTCCAACCTACAGTCTCTCATAGCTGGTCGAGATCCGGATACGATATCTCAGATAGATGATGTCGACAAGCTAGTTGGTTGGTTCGCTGTAAATGGTGAAGTTCTTCGAGGCTGGATCATAAAGAAAGATAGGGCCAGCGGCTTCGAAACGCGTTTGTTACGGTAGATAAAGCTTCACAGGACGACAATGTTCGGTCCTTTCTTCACAAATGGTTTCTCTGATCTGATGCATTCCTCGAACTTTAGAGAGTGATACATAGAACCTAAATGCCTGAGAACCTATAGATGTCTACATATCTGTAAAAAAGGGCAGTGGTATTGTCTATCAGAGCACTTGTCAGAACACATGCAATGACGTTCAGGGTCCAAACGATTAATCTGATGCCTCTGTCATTTCGGCATGCTCGTAACCGCCCTCCCAAAGGGCAAGAAGGTGATGTTTACATTCCTCGGGATATGCAGCATACTCAGTACGAAAACATACACTGCTAGCCAAAAATTTATCCCCAGATGAACCGTGGTAAATCAATGAGATTCAAGTAAGCGTCATACTTTTTGTTTTGCCTTATCGCTCTAGAGCAAGATAAATAGGGATTAAGGGGACAAATTATACTACTTATTAATAGCGCGCGATAACAAATTAAGCTCGTCTCTGTGGACGATCGACGAAGTCTGTCCTTGTTTTATTATATCACCAGTATTCAAGAGATGAAGCCTTGAAGTAGAAAGAGTTTGTAGTTCCCTTGTTCTGAGGATTATTCGTTGAGGGCAGTCCAATTCATGCTCTAATTGATTGTGGCCAGAAGGTCCACTTGGCCACTAGGGACCTCTGATTCCATGAGAATTTGCAAAATGATCAACGGTGCAGCATTGATAAGCCGGTGCATTGCCATCCAGGAAAATCGGTTTAGACAGACTTGGCAGCACTGGGAGTAGATGCAATCGAAGTATACCATATAACACAAACTATTGACGTCCTCACCATTGAAAATCGTGCTACTCTTTTCTGAGCTCCAGACAGCTGCCCAAACATAAATCGAATTGTGCCAAAGTATCTGACAACTGTTTGCTTTTAGCTAACAGGTCACCCTTCTCCAGTTGCCATTTTGTTCAAAACAACAAGCTGAACGGTCAGATACATGTCTACGTTTTAGTCGGAACAGGCTGTTTAGCCTTGTAAATGTGTAGACACACAGTATGGTTTTTCTGACTGCATAAAGGCTTGCCTTGTGGACTCGCTGCACTGGATTTAACAAGGTCGTGGCGTTACAGACCGCACGACTGACGGACCGCAACACAGGTTCTGGGAAGTCGTTTCGCGGAAGAACCTCCGTCAAATTAAACATTTGGGGCGCTCATATAGTCACAGAACTGTTCGCCCTTCTATCCCTAACTCGGGCTCGTGAGATAATCCTTTCAGTCAGGACCGCGACTCACCGATGCAAGCAGATGTGTCTCGTTATTACGGAGAGGGCAACATACAGCCAGCATAGCCCAATCCCAGAGGGCTCCCTTGTGTTTTCCATTCAGCCAGGGCATTTGTCTTTAAACCGTATTTGTTCTAACCCGCTTTCATAGAGCGGGCAGGTCCCTGAAGTACAGTTTCATGTTGTAAAACGGAATGGTATGAGATTCGACAACAAAACACGCACCCTGATGATCTTCCGTGATTCCATTGCTGCTTCGAAACCATATTATTAAGTGAAAAGTAGAGCATTTCAGCTTCCGTAAATGGCAATACTACAGGGTCTAGAGACAAAAACGTTCCCCATCGCTTAACAACGAGGAGTCACTGAGATTTAAAAGTGAGCTGATCGGCGCCTTCCAGAAAAATAAGTTCATTGACCACGTCACGCACTTACCACAAAGTTTCGCAGCTTGCTAACAGAAGTAGACACCTCCCAAACTTGACGCAGGCAGTCTGAGACAAGGTCGTCATCAAAGAAACTATCAATATGAGCATTCCAGGAGGTAATGGCCTCCTGTAACTTTCGTTTGGAGGGCTGAGAGTGAGCCCCGGTGCATCTTGGTTGTAAGACCGTCAGAAAGGAGTCCAACTCATCGAAGCGCAACTTTAGCAGGCTAGCAGCAATATGACAGTAGCGCTCAAAAGGCCGCGGTCCTCCGCTTTCTTCTCCTCCTTCTTCAGATGTGTCGCAACAGGCAGTGAGGGGAGAGGCGACGGGTAGAAGGTGCAACTGTTGGTGTGAAAACCTCGACTTCACACGCTTCTCCAGCATTTCCATTATATCCTACAGAAAGCACCGCGAGGGTGATGAAGAATAAATCACTCTGGATGCAGATAAGAAACAGCATTAGTGTACTGGCATGTTCACGCATGTGCGTACATTTCCAATGGAGAAAATGAGGCCCTCATAAGATGCAATTAACCTGCACGGCCACGGTTGTCGGGACTTGCAGAAGCTGCACAAGCAAGTTTCATCTACTAAAATTGATTCGATTTGTTCAAGTCAACATAGTAGTCAGGCAGAGAAGTGAGTTAGAGGTTTGGGCCAATCAGTACTTACTTACTCCATACGGTTTTCATCAAGTCAGGTTTAGCGTGCCTCAATTTCCAAGAGGTTTTGAGAATTTGCGAAATGGGCTGAGACCAAGTGGTGGCGATTGAGGCAATAAATGTGCATTTACGGATATGAGGTCTGAGTCCGATGGCATGTTGACGAAATAACTGAAAGTTCTCACGATACTTAGCCCCTTTTTCTTCAGTGACACTAAACTCTCCAGGTGTACCACGATACATATGTGGAACAGAGTCCCATATCACACACGCAAACATGCAATTGATTTCAACTGTCTTATAGAAGTACTCCCAGCGAATTGGTAGCTACATTGTGTAAGACATTTTTCCCGATAGTGGATGACGCTGCATAGCGTTCTGGAAGACAATATGCTATCAACAAATGCTAGACTAAGAAAAAAGACTCCTCCATACGACAATTGAGGAATCAAGGATGCTGTGATTACCAGAACAAGAGTGAAAATATGGATAATGAGTAATGGGGAGTTTAAGTTAGGACCTGCCCCAGATTGTTGTATGGATTCTCGGTCGACGGCTTCGCGAGCCGGCTGAGTAGCAAGCTCAATGCAGAACAAATAGTATTGTTCAATCAGATTTGCCTAATCTTGATAGAATTTCTGGAAAAATAAAAATGGAATGGGTTGAAAAATGTCGAAAAGGCACGAATTTGTGCTATAGGACTAACCAGCCTGCAAGTCAGCCCGATGACACAGAGCGGCACACCGCCAGACTGACAGCAATCCAGAAGATTGTAAAGGAGAGCCTGATTTCTGTGGGCAGCGAACCTATCGAACTCCTCTACGACAACAAGTACAGTCTTGTTAGACGTGTTTCCAGACGTTAGAAGGTTCAGAAGCCACCTAAGTTGTTCTGAAAAAGTTCTCGATGGCTCATTGGAGGAAATATTGTCAACGTCAGAGGCATCCTCTTCGTCAAATAACAGCATTTCGGGAACTGCACTACAGGCTCGATGCAGTTGCTTGGCAATGGCGTTCAAGGCCACACGGTCGTCTGTGTGAATAAGACCTGAAACAAGAATAAGAGCGTTTCGTTCTATACCTCGACACTGACCGCTCGGCCATGGGACAGTTACTGAAGGTTGCCGTTTCGGCGACAAAAAATTGACGCAGAGTTTGTCAGTAAAGTCAGCTTGATAGGCAAGGGGAAGAAGCCGGTATTTTGGAACAGTGTTCAAGAACGGGTAAATTATGAATGGTGTCATAAGGAGAATCCGAACTGGTCCCCTTAAAATTATGAGATTTTCAAAAAGTCCCCACAACTAATAGTGGAAATAAATATTAAAAGCTGGAATGTGTACGTTAGTGTACCTGAGTCAAATTTTGACACAGATAAAGTCTTACCAAAACAACCCATTAAAATCGCATGCACTTAGAGTTGTTCATTAGTATGTACAGTGTATCTGCAGTTTGACATATATACCAATGATGTAGGACTGAGTAAAGTTTGGCAAACAAGGTGTGGGAAAGAAAAGATGATAAAGAAATAGGAAAGAGGGCCGCTAAATATTCCGCTTCCTATCTAGCTTATTTTAGATGAAGAGAGATCTTCACGGTTCCATAGAGCGCTTTCAAATTGAAAGCAAGTATATTTGGTCCGAAGAGAAACGCCTGTTCTAAAGGCCTCAGGTTGCTGCTATTGATGAGTCTCTGAGAATGAGAAGCGGACGAAATCAATAACTTGATGAAACAAATGAGAATACAGAAAACGTTTAGGAAAAAGCAATTTGGAGATCTGAGGACCCAACTCCCATTAACCTATTTTATATGGTTCGTTCAAAAATCGCAGACTCACCATTTATATAGACGTCGATAAAGTTCCCACTCACGTCCTTCATCGACTTCACTTTATTTATTACCTCGCGCAACAGCTGCAATTGCGTAGAGGTATCGTGGCTCATTGCTTACCAGACTTTTTCCACTTCCAGGACGACCAATTACGAGCAAGGAATTGCTTACGCCTTTAGTCACGGTCTCATGAATTGTATGGAACAAACGGTCTGTCTCTTGTTGAAAGAACTCCATTTGGTGAATTGAAGAGAAAATTCTGCGCCGAAGAAATCGCAGAATCCACTCCATCGCTGAAAAAGGAAATAAGACTTTAAAATGCTGTGCTGCCTAACTTTCGTCCGTGTATTCATCGGAATGCTGAGTTGTCTGAAGACTTCTGTTAATCAGACTACTTCCTAACTTACTTAATCCTTTGTATTTTTCGAATTACTTCTATCATGAGCTAGTTTGAAGCTAACGCTGAGGAAATGGTCACTAGTGGTTTGTTAACTATCGCCAGCTGGCCCCAGAATAAGTTAGCCAAGCGTCCGTTTATGACTACCGACAATTAATACGCCAGACATGGCTGTTCCCTATACGACTGCATGCGAGTGCCACAGACTGGAGCTGCGGGACGCAAGGTGACGAGCAGGTTCCGCACGGTGAACATCCGTTCAATGCTAATTATTGGTACGTCGACTTGCTATGTCTGTCAATATGCTCATAAAAGGCGGCATCAACCCACTCGTATCTAGAGGCAAAAGCCCAATACCAAAGGTCCTATAACGCACTCGGCACTTTGTTGCATCGCTGAGTTTGTATTTAAAATGAAGCAGCGCGGAAGAATTTAGCGAAACAGGACTGAACTCACGAGGTGGATGAAAAGGTACGTGGCCTAGCTCATCAGCCATCGTCTTCAGATAGCACAGAATATGCTTGTGGGGTCGTTGCATTGATAAGGACCACCTTATTCGTGGAAAGATATGTTTACTTCACCGAAACGATCGCTCTCGGGCAACAGTAGCCGAAAACCTCCAGGTTTCGATCGCGCTGTACATGCATTAGCAGCATGGCATGGTCATCAGGCAAGTGCGAAGCGTTCTCACCTCTAAGATATTATGAGAGGCTTAGGAATATCTTCAGTGACAGGACCGATTACTATAAACATTTTCCATCTGCTCCATCAGCCCGACAAAATTTTCTGAAGCCTTTGAAATGGCTTACCACTTAAAGCCCGCAGCTGTTAATTACAGGTGGGTGGTACTTCCCGGTAAGGTCGAACGAATAATAGTTTGGTTTCGCAACGTTCAGAAACAAACAAATTAAACTGCCAACCTCCCTCATCCAGCGCGCGCACTGCAGGTTAACATAGCTTTACGCTCGCAAGATAATATCGTCAGCGGGGTGAGGTTTCGTCAGCCGGTGCATAGTGGACACCACTAATACAGAATCCCGCATTCTGGAAAGCTCATTCAGTGAGGTACTACAGCAGGATGGGCGATAGAATGCGTGCCCGATGGTTATGAGGTTTTATGGGGAAACAAACATAGAAGCAGGAAAATAAATAGCAGGCAGTGGCTGCCACACGAAAGTCCGACCGTAGATTCCTACGAAGTTTGCTGTGTGCCTCACGGAATGATGGGCGTAGGGATGGTGACTTGTGGACTGGCGCCACATCTGCCGCATTCTCTCCTCCTACCCCACTTGGGCCCGATGTGTGGACAAAGTCAAGAAGACCAGAGGCGGGATCAGGCGCAGGTGGCCAGCGTGGCGCGAACTTGCACCCAGACGTGCCACCACACCCCCATATGTTGCATTAGTTACGTGTGGGCGTCCAAAGAATGCCTGTCGTGTCCTGACCTGGTCCCCGTGTTGGTTCAGCGCATCTATCGCGCGGCCCGTTGTAGGAGCATTTGGAGACCTCAGATCTCACGTAACTGAGAGTCCAATAGTGGTCGCATTAACACACAGCATCACAGCATGATCCTCAGTCATGAGTAGGACCGAGTCATCGTGTTGGTTGTCAGCCTTCTAAGCCACGATTGCTAGAGCGTCGTGGTAGCCGAAAAGCACGTCTAACTGTCAATAGTGAGGAACTGAACGCTGCACCCAGACTGAATCGATCACACTCTTTCTGTTTTAACACGCTCATGGTTTATACGAATAAAACTAATCAGTAAGGGGCGGCAGATCGTCTGATTTGACGTAATGTCGCCATCTGACGAGTTCCAAGCTCACGTACTTCGAAGATAACACGAAGGTCACCTCAAGAGGGCACTGCCGAAGTCAGATCAGCATTCAAAAGGAGGACCGAGTTACGTAGTCGGCTGATAGCCTTGCAATCAACGACTTTTGGCACGTAGTGATAGCTTCAGGCGGACCAAAATTATTGCCATGATTGCGATATGAGAAGATACCTCAATACCAGCATCACTCGTTTTCCTCCCCAGTGTACTCATGGTCTGCACCAGCCTGTCGGTTTACTGCACTTAGTAGTTTCTGAAATTCTTACCTTGTTCTCTGGAGTTCATATGCCGGAAACTGCATGGATAACGCAAGGGAATCAAATGAGGAGTCGAACCCTACGCAACTGTCATGCAGCGGCAAACATCGGCGAAACGCGTGTCTTGGCTTCTAGTTAGAGCCCATGTCGGGAGTGTGGTACAACTATCCATCAAAATACAAGGGAAGCACGTTTAGTTAATTACGAAACCGTTTTCTAGTGTAAAGCCAAGGGCGGCATTTCAGTCCGTCCTTGTGGTCCCATTTCCTGACATCTCAAGATTCAGGGCGGATTTCATATGCCTCTTGACATGCGTCCCCTAGTGTGCAGCATGAGTTTTCGTTGCTCGCGTAAAAAGTCCACAAAGTGCAGTAGGCGATTTGCTGTTAGGTGATTGTTTCCCGAGCGGTAAATGATCGTGCACGACTGCCACGTGTCACGAAACGAGGTGATATCGGGCGTTATCCAACCGCGGATAGAGGGTGTAAGGGTTGGTAAGGTTGCACAATACGGCGTCGTACATACCAAAAACTCACTGCTAATGTAAGTCTTTTAATGTATTGCCCTCGCGTGACGACGGACTCTTTAGTAGCTTCGACTGCTCAACCACCCAGAAAGGGGTTAATCACAACGGAGTACCCACTGCCTCATTTTCGATAAGTGGCCATCAAAAACTGCCTAAATCTATTGCACATATTCGCTCGCATAGTTACTTTGATTGTTATGAGGAAATAATCGCGAATTTACGTTGGTCGATATTTGCCACAACTGCACCTTTCGGTGCCAGGACTTAAGGGACGAGGTGTAACGTCCCACGAACCGTGCAGTTTTCTGAGTGTAATAAACACTGCCCACGAGAGTCTGGGATGAATATGGCGTAACTGCGTGTAGGTGAAAATAGCCGGTGCCCTTCTTTACCACTCACTCCCTTCACACAACTCAGCGTAACGCTCTCTATCTCTACGTCGGCATCTTTCACGCCTCTCCCCTGCAGTTGCCCACAGCGCTGTGCTAATCGCCGGCTGTTTAGCAGCCATGTCAGTAATACTTCCCCATCCAGACATGTCACCCATTGCTGTAACCCATTCCATTTGTACAATTGACCATTATGATATATTCTCACTTGCAGGCTGTGCTTACTATACCTCTATGTTCGCCTAATTATTCTTCTACCCCTTCTCTTGGATGAGTATGGTGACGCGTCAACGACTCCATTCACATCGGCATTAGCCAGGACTTATTCCCGATGCTTCGCTGACTCGATGTATGCTATCCCTTACATCATCAGCCACTACTGACGGCTTTAAACCTAATTCCTGAAACTACAAAAAGATTGGGCGGTTAGATAGTTCAGGCCCATCGGAAGATGCATGCAATGAAATTAAATTCAAAGAACATAAGATAAGTGTCTTTGGGTGTTACACGAGACGGGCAAGCACTTAGTGTTTCGTCCTTTCCGCCCAAATTTCCGTCTAGTAAAACGTTTCAGCATCTCGAAGAGTTGCAGATGGCATTTAAGGGATGGTGTAGGACAGTCGCCATAATTCCAGTCGTAGAATTCGCCGAAAATATTTGTTAACAAAGTAAGCATACTCGTTCGGGCAAACGATAAATAAGAATATTTGAAAAGTACCTCAGACAAGTCAGTTCGCTAGTCAAGAACGGCGATGTCAAACGTGTGCCGCACGGAATGGACGCAGCATCAGCGACTTGCACCCAAGTATGCTTATGTGAAAAGTAGACTTGCGCTACGCCTTTCACACTCCCCCCTCATCTACCTTGGCTGGTTGTCAAGACGAAGCCGAGGAGGCAGGATGTGTAATCGAGCGCAGTGAATGGCAAGGCTGATCTACTCATTTACATCTTCTGGCTCACGCCCAATAAGCCATGTTTCAACAAAAGAAACGTAAGGGTGACTCGGATGCCAAATGGGCTAGCACGTCATAGATGCCACACAGAGGAATCATTGAGGCCTTGCCCACAGCCCACCAGTCGGGCATTTGTAGGCCTCTGTACACTTTTGATTTGTTTCACTACATTTCTTGTACACCTGACCTGCCTGTACATTTGTTTGACTAAACGGAGAATACACTTTTTGAACAACGCTACGGCGGTCAACATGTGTTCTGGTCTCGAGTGTGTTTGACATCGTTATTTCTTGGCGTGCGCTTGTCACCTCTCAATTCTCTTAGCAACTCGTTAGTGCTGCCGGAGACTTCCTCCTCGAAGCTGACTTCAACGGACCATCGCGGAACCTAGAGCCTTCCTTCAACCATTTCCTCATCGGGACACTATCTCCCTACTTGATAGGATTCTACCTTACGTGAGTCTGGAACATTCCTTTTCTGGTTCTTTCAATCTCTACATTCTTTTTTTTGTTGGTAAACACAATTCCCCCATTCGGAGTTAGTTTTTTTGCATATATTATTGTTTGTAGTTTCTAAGTCCACATTTCCACTACAAAACTGGTGACCCCGCTTTTTCCTGCATTCCGAACCTTTTTTCCATTTACCATGGCCAGTGACGGCTCCCAAAAAGACTCACTCGACATTAACACCCTTCTTTTAAACTGCCACCGTTTACCCCGAGCAACCCTCGTGTTTGGTTCAGGCAGATCGAGGCTCTTTTTGTGACAGGCCGCATTACTAGCGAGCGTACCCGCTATTCGTACGTTCTGCAGTCACTCCCATTTGATGTAGCTGTCACCGTCGAAGACCTCCTTGACCCCATTCCAGCCGACAAACCGTATACGCTGCTGAAGGAAGCGGTTATCCAACGGGTAGCTAAATCGGCTAACCTTATGCTGCGGGAACTTTTCACTCAAGTAGAGCTAGGTGATCAGACACCTTCCCAGCTCATGCGTCACATGCGCTCACTCCTCGCTGGTAGGCACATGGATGACGCCATTTTTCGCGAGATTTGGTTAGAAAAGTTACCGGTGCCTATGCAGCAGGTTTTGGCCATGTTGGACTCGAATACACCTTTAGAGAAGCTAGCTACCCACGCTGACCGAATCAAAGAGTGATACCCCATGGGTGCCTCGTGTTCCACTATTCAACAGCCACCGCCTTCCAAAGGCAAGCCCCATCAGGGCATTGACTCTGATTCAGAAGGACCACCATTCCCAGCGCACGACACTCCCTATTCGGAAAAAGCGTCATGCTGTTGCACAACCCGACGCGCGCCCACATCAGCCGGTCCTCCCAGAACACCCACCGCCGCTTATCGCACCGATTACGACGACCTGAGAGACACTGTGCGTCTCCTTTGCACTCAGGTGAGCAACATGTGCTCTGCGCTTAACAGTCTTCAAGCGGCTAGGAAACAGCCATGCTCACATCGATGGTCTAAATCCCGTGAGCGGCGTTCACAACCCTTATGTTGGTATCACCGCACTTATGGTCCGAAAGCCCCAAAGTGCATACCTCCTTGTTCGTTCGCTTGTCCTCCACAGTTAAACGACCACGCCAGCCAGTAATGGCGACGACTGCTGCTGGCCCGTCGCGACCCAGTCGCCTTTTCTATATTAACGACAAGTCGAGCGGCCTTCGTTTCCTGGTCGATACCGGTGCCGAGGTCAGTGTCATCCCGCCTCTAAGGCGTCACCGCCTCAAGCCATCGCAATTCTCATTGCAGGCTGCAAATAGCACCACAATCAGCACCTACGGCCAACGGTCCCTCACTTTAGATCTTGGTCTCCGGCGACGTTTTCAATGGGTCTTTATTGAGGCTGACGTCAAATCGCCCATTATCGGGGCCGAATTTTTGTCATCTTTCGGCTTAACAGTCGATGTCAGACACCGTCGCCTCTCAGACACCACCACCCAACTCTTTACTATAGGTACCATTAGCTCTGAACGGTCTGTTGGCATTCATGTCACCATCCCCAGCACCCCTTTCGCGGACATTTTGAAGGACTACCCGTCCATCACTAAACCATGTCATTTTACCGAAACCGTTCAACACGGAATGAAACACCACATTGTCACGGCAGGGCAACCAGTGCACGCTCGTCCGCGTAGACTCCACCCTGACAAGCTCCGAATAGCAAAGAACGAATTTGAACATATGATGAATCTGGGCATTATACGCCCATCATCTAGCCCATGGGCCTCACCACTGCACATGGTGCCAAAGAAGTCCCCTGACGATTGGAGACCGTGCGGTGATTATCGAGCCCTAGACAGGTCCGTAGTCCCTGACCGGTACCCCATTCCCCACATTCATGACTTTTCCCACATGTTAGCCGGCAAAACTATTTTTTCCAAGATAGACCTCGTCAGGGTGTACCACCAAATCCCGGTCGCTGAGGAAGATATCCCAAAGACCGCTATCACGACACCCTTTGGGCTGTTCGAATTTATTCGCATGCCTTTTGGTTTGCGCAATGCTGCCCAGTCGTTTCAGCGCTTCATCGATGAGATCTTGCGGGGCCTTCCATTCGCTTACGCCTACATCGACGAAATACTCGTCGCAAGCTCTTCCGCAGAGGAACATGCCTCGCATTTACGCCGCATATTCGATCGTTTCCAGCAACACGGTTTGCAATTAAACGTCGACAAATGCGTTTTTGGCGTTAATTCTTTCGATTTCCTTGGCCATCACGTCGATCAGCACGGAATCACTCCACTTACAGAGAAGATGCAATGCATCTTGTCTTTCCCTGTTCCCAACACACTCACTCAGCTGCGACGTTTCATAGGCCTTATCAACTATTACAGACGTTTTATTCCCCATTGTGCGGCGATCCTGGCTCCCTTGACTGACCTTTTGAAGTCGAAAGCAAAACCTATTGAACTTTCACCGGCATCCCATACAGCTTTTGAGGAAGCGAAAAAGGCTCTTGCCGATGCCACCATGCTGCACCACCTCAACTCTGATGCTCATGCACAGCTCATTTTGACCACCGACGCTTCCAGCAGTGCTGTCGGCGCAGTCTTGCACCAACAGGTGAATAACCAGTTGCAGCCTTTAGCTTTCTTTTCACAGAAGCTACAACCGGCGCAGACTCGCTACAGTACTTTCTCTCGCGAGCTCCTTGCCGTCTACTTGGCCATACGTCACTTTCGACACCTTTTAGAGGGCAGAGACTTTTCGGTCCACACCGACCACAAGCCTCTCACTTACGCCCTGAAGGCCAAGCCAGATCGGTACTCGCCCAGGGAAGTTCGTCACCTGGACTATATTGCGCACTTTACTGCCGACATCCGCTACGTCCGAGGCAGCGACAATGTCGTTGCTGATGCATTATCCCGTCCGGACATCAACACACTCACATCCGATTTCGACCTGGCGAGGCTTGCAGACCTCCAAACAGCAGACGAGTCCATCGCGGACTTACGTACGTCTACTTCTCTGCAGCTTCGAGATGCACCACTTCCTGCGTCACCAGGTACGATTTTGTGCGATTGGTCCACAGGCACCCCTCGTCCTGTTGTTCCACTATCCTATCGTAAGGTCGTCTTTGACCACTTCAACTCCCTCTCCCACCCTGGCATTCGCGCTGGACGTAAGTTAATCGCGGCTCGTTTTGTTTGGCCGAAGATGAATTCCGACATTGCTCTCTGGACCAAACAGTGTCTCTCATGCCAGAAGAACAAGGTTCATCGACACACCTCCTCCCCTCCAAGTACCTTTGCGGTCCCGGATGTTCGATTTAATCATGTTCACTTGGATTTAATCGGACCGTTAACCCCTTCACGTGGGTACACACATATCCTGACGGCCGTTGACCGTTTCACACGATGGCCGATTGCCGTTCCTACCTCGGATACCTCGGCAGAAAATATCGCCATGGTTTTTCTGACCCATTGGATCTCAACTTTTGGTGTTCCAGCCACCCTTACCACCGACCGCGGAAGTCAATTCCAACCTAGCCTCTTCCGTGAGTTCACTAGACTGCTCGGGTGCGCGCACATCACAACCACGGCATACCATCCTGCTTCCAACGGTCTCGTTGAGCGTCTACACCGCCAACTGAAGTCCGCACTGATGTCCCAAACAGAGTCAGCTACTTGGAGTGTCAATCTCCCTCTTGTGCTTCTGGGCATCCGATCTTCTGTCAAGGAGGACATCCAATGCACTGCCGCCGAACTTGTGTACGGTACACCCCTCCGTGTGCCCGGCGAATTTGTGCAACCTTCCACAACAAACACTAACAGCACGAGCACCTTTGTACAGCAGTTGAAACAACGCATGGCTCAACTGCGTCCAACCCCCACTCGTCTGACCTCGAAACACGTGTTTGTACACGAGGACCTTAAATCCGCCCCCTTTGTTTTCGTCTGGCATGACGCAGCGCGCAAGCCCCTTTGTTCTCCCTACGATGGCCCACATAAGGTCGTTCAGCGGAATGACAAGTTTTACGTCCTTCAAAAGGCTGATAAGACCGACACGGTCTCCATTGACCGCCTTAAGCCAGCCTATCTGGAGTGCCTCCCGTCAACCAGTGCGCCATCCATTCCCCCTACTACGTCCTCACCCGATACACCC